TCCACTCCCTCTCTCTCTGTCTTTTTTTTTTTTTTTTTTTTTTTTTTGGGTTCAGTTTTGAGTTAAAGATTGTGAATTTAGTTTCTCTTGATTTTAATTATTAAAAATTTGATTTTGCTTATAAAGATTGAATCTTGATTTGCTTAGATTGATTAAGGGTTTGACCTTTCCCCTCAAAGATAAAATCCTTGTAAGGCAAATTTTGGTGGAATCTGTTCTGAATTTTTGGCACGGATATTGGATGTAAAAATCATAAGTTTTTGTTCTTAATTTTGAATTTTTTTCTGTGTATTTGGCTTTTATGCCCCCTTAATTCTTCTTCTTCTCTGTTTTGATTGTTTGGGACTGCATGATTTTATTCTGTTGGAATATTTCTTGTCAGTCATCTTACCTTACAATGCCTATCTAATTAGAGGGATTGAAGGATTAATTATTTTAGTTGATTATTTCTTCTTCTTCTTCTTCTTTTTTTTAATTGAAATTATAAAAATTACAAAGTTAATCATTACTAATAACAAGCCCCCACTCTAACTCCCCAATTTTTGATGATTGGAATTTCAAAATATCAGTTCTGTTTATTATGTTTTAAGTCAATGGAGAAATCAATTTCTATTCGAGTTCTAGAAATCGTTTGTGAAACGATCAAATAAAAAAAGTCGTTGGCGATGAAATAATGCTACAATCTCATTATCTCTTCTGTGAGTTTCAGAAGCTTCAAAATTTCCCAGAAGTTCGTTAGCTCCGTCCAGCATAAGCATTCCCTCTCACAGTAGCAAAAGCAGTGTTCACAACCTCCCTACTCCAAGATCTGAAGCTGAAATTCTCTCATCCCCTAATGTTAAGCCCTTCTCGTTTAATGAGTTAAAGAATGCGACCAGAAACTTTCGACCTGACAGTCTTCTTGGGGAAGGAGGATTTGGTTATGTTTTCAAAGGATGGATTGATCAGAACACTCTTACTGCTGCAAAGCCAGGATCAGGACTGGTTATTGCTGTGAAGAAGTTGAAGCCTGAGGGTTTCCAAGGCCACAAGGAGTGGTTGGTATGTTTATTCTTCTATTTTTTATGGTTTAACTAATTTATTATTTTGTAATGACCTGTTTTGACAACCAGCCTATAATTTGCAGACAGAAGTAAATTATTTGGGGCAACTTCATCATCCAAACCTGGTTAAACTTATTGGTTATTGCTCTGAGGGTGACAACCGGCTTTTGGTGTACGAGTTCATGCCCAAAGGAAGCCTCGAGAACCATCTGTTCAGAAGTATATATTACCTTCTCTTTCAATGAAAATCCTTTAATGATTTTCACAAACGAGCTTTATTACTTATGTGATAATCAACGACATAAAACTCATCACGTTTATCTTTTACTTCCAGTTATTATCTACATTCCTCTGCTCACTTTCTTTTAGTTTGTAACTTAATTCAATTCTTTTCATAATTGCCTCAAGTGCTCTGCTGGTAAAGCACTATTAAGAGGGTTAGTAAATGCTGCAGCATTCGAAAAGCAAGAATTTTAATTATAATTTAAAAAAGAAAAGAAAATCATTTGTTGACTGCAAAGCTTGCTCTCTACTGATGGGTCCACATAGACTGATGTTATTCAATTTATTATTTATTCTATGTTTATCATGATTTGCTCTTCATGTCGTGGGGTTCAATTTTACCATTTTTTGCATTTATCGCTAATACTAATCATGAACTTGGTCCCACCCTTCTTATCGATCCTTTTGAGGGAGGTAAATGGTTTCTAACTATTACATTTCGTGCTTGTCTATAGTCTACCATTGAAATTTATAATCGATTCAGTATCAAGTGATTAGTAGGATGCTCTGATCCTCAATTCTCTTTTACGGATGCGGATTAAAAACATGTTTTGATCTTTGGAATTGCATTTTTCTTTTCGGCAGGAGGTCCTCAGCCGCTCAATTGGGCTACAAGAATCAAGGTGGCTGTAGGTGCTGCCAGAGGCCTCTCGTTCTTGCATAAAGCTGAACATCACATAATATATCGGGATTTCAAGGCCTCTAACATCCTTCTTGATGGGGTACATTCAGAACTGTGATCTTTAATAGTATGTTTGTTATGGATTATTAATAGCACTAGACGGTATTAAGAATTAAAGTTAAAATCTTGTCCAACGCTGCATTCCAAACGTGTAAGGATTTTGCCCAAAGTGTTCAGGGTTCACTTGCATAGATGAACTGACAGTGATTCTGCTCCGGATGCAGGAATTTAATGCAAAGTTGTCCGATTTTGGATTGGCTAAAGCTGGGCCAACTGGTGATAAGACTCATGTTTCTACTGAAGTTATGGGTACTCAAGGCTATGCTGCTCCAGAATATGTTGCTACAGGTTCAAAAATTTGAAATACAACTCTCTTTTCTTTGAGCTAATCATGGGTAAAAACATTTAGTCACTCAACTTAAAATGAAATCTCACGTCAGTCAAAGTAGTAACTCAAGTTTATTTATTTATTTTTTATTTAGTTTAGGCATGCTTTAACTCTTAACGGAATGGTCAACGTTGAAGACCTCCATGTAGATGCCAAGTCAAATTATAGTCTTCCACATCGGAAATTCCATTTGAAAGACTGATGGATTCTTATTGAATGACCAAATTCAAATGATAAGAAAGCTTCATTGACTATTCGAAAAAATATAGAGTTCCATGGCTAGCTTAAACCTTGGCGATAAGTTGAGTGACTAGAAGTCTTTGACTCACTAAGATTACATACGCTTGATATGATGAGATATGATTGTGTCATAATTTCTTCAACCAAATAATAAAAAAAAAAAACTTTTTCACTTTCTTTTGACACCTCATTTGTACGTAAACCATCATGTAATTTCATTATGTACCAGTAGCATTATTCTTAACAGTTAATATCATATACTAAGGTCCTCATTACAATGAACAGGCCGATTGACATCAAAAAGCGACGTATACAGCTTTGGGGTTGTTTTACTGGAACTCGTATCGGGACGACGTGCTGTTGATAAAGCAAAGGTTGGTGTGGAACAAAACCTTGTCGATTGGGCAAAACCATATCTGGGTGACAAGAGAAAATTGTTCCGAATAATGGACACAAAACTCGAGGGTCAGTACCCTCAGAAAGCTGCATACACTGCCGCTACCATCGCATTGCAGTGCCTTAATCGAGAACCAAAACTCAGGCCAAACATGGCTGAGGTGTTATCCACACTTGAAGAGCTCCAATCTCAGCAAAGTGCATCAAGGCCTATAAAAGGCAGGAATCGAACTTCTTTTGATCCTGTATCTATGTCGCCGTTGAAACATCATAAGTCGCCTCGTAATATGACACCTTCGGCGTCTCCATTGCCATCACACTTGAGATCTCCACTTGTTAGATGAGGCAGAATAATGTAATTTCAACTTGGTTTTATCCCTTATGTTATGTAAATATATTGTAGTTCAAGTTTCCGCTTTTGCCATTGTTGGATTATGTATTTTGACGCCATGAAGCTTATTGAAAGTTGCTTTCGAAAACTTTGAAGCACTATCACTTTCCAAGTTGTCACCGTATTTTGTCCCAAATGGCACAAGTCGATCCGTGATCAACGATTGTGAAAAGAATAATGGTACTATAACACCAATTTAGAAGACGTGATGTGATAAGTTTAACGAAAGACAAAATTAAGTGACTCATTTAATTGTATCTCTAATTTAATGCCAAAATAGTGCGACTTAAAACTGATTTTTTAACATCAATAATGTTAAATAGCATAACTTTAGTGAAAATATAGATGGAATCAAATGGCCCCCCGGAGCATAACCCAATGATGCAAAGGACAGGAGTCAGATTATCTCACCCCTTGTTGGCAGTCGCAGTGTGGGGGTTCGATTTCTGAGATATGGAATTGGACTCCTTGTAGGCGCAGTGTACAGGCAGCTCTTGTTCCTTAGTCTGTTGGGGCACATCCCGTTATTTACCTCCTTCACAGAGCTCTAGGGACGGGGCGGTGAGGGCCCTCAAAGTTGGGGTTCAACCTTTATAGATGGAATCAAATGAATTATTGGTGGGGTCGGAATAAGGTAAGCTAATATTCTCAAACAAATTTAAAATTGGGTTACTATGATCATTAATAAACACAGGTAAAAAATAATAATAATAATAATAATAATAATAATCGATTTCACTTAAAAGTATGGAATTATAACTGTGATTAGTCAAGATAACCTGATAGAAGTTCACAGATTGATCATTAAAGCATTAGGCTTATTTTGCAGATGCTGCCTAATTTAACAATTATTGAGCATTGAATACTTTTCAGCCAAATTAGCTAGAAGTTTGGTCCACCAAACAATCTGTTGGGAAAAAAAAAAAAGCCACCATGATAGGACTTATCTAAATAAGAAGATTAATTTAATTAATTAAGACATACTTAAATGGAAAGAAATCTAATTCCTTCTACTATATCAAGAGTTGAATTCGTGTACAAACATTAGTTTATCTTTATTGGTTCAACTCAAATTGGGCTCTATTAGCTCGACTATTTCATATATATATATATATATAGGACTCTTACAAACTTTTCAAGTAGATCAAATCCCACAACTCATTTAATGAATACAAGAGATTAATTTAATTAATTAAGACATACTTAGTCACTGTTTGGTATTGATTAAAAGATTTTAATTTAAGTCAAACTTAACAATTAATTTTAACCACATATTTTATGAAACCCATATTGTTCAATCACACACTCCATCGACTTTATTAAAATTTACTAAAAATTTGATTTTAATCCTCATCAAACAAGGGCTTAAATGGATAGAAATTCAATTCCATATACTATATCATTAGTTGAATACGAGTACAAACATAAGTTTATCTTTATCGATTTAATTCAAATTGGGCTCTATTAGCTCGACTATTTCATCAATAAATAGAACTCTTACAAACTTTTCGAATAGATGAAATCCCACAACTCAATATATATGCAGAATACAATCTCTTTCAATGATATTTTTTCCCTAGTAAAAAATAAAAATAGTGACTTAAACATTGGAGATTGATAAGTGTATTTTATACACTTATTTAGACCTAAAAATATGGATATTTAATAGTTTTTTAAAGTAATTATAACCTAATTTATTGTGCATTTCGTTTATTAGGTAAAACTAGATTATTAAAAGTGGAATTGAAAAAAAGAAGCGAAAAATTGGGAAAAATGACGAGGTCCAAAGTTTGAGGACCAAATTACAAATATCCAATAGTTGATTTAGACTACAAGATGATACTTTTGAAGATTGCTAGGAGATAATTGGCTACAATTAAAAGTAGAAACGGAATGGAATATGATCAAAATATTTTTCAAATCAATTTCTAGTCTCACAAGTTACATTCCAAATTTTAGACGAAAATTGAGACCCATTTTTGGCATTGAAAATGTTTGAATAAAAAAAAAAAAATTCTATTTCTAGCAAAGTTATAGTCCCTTTGAATTAGCTTTCCAACACACTTTAAATCTCAACCGGATATTAAGAGAAAAATTATGATCGAAATACTAACAATTGTGTAGAGACAAAAAGCATGCGTACGCAAATACAACTTTCCTTATTAAATCAATTCATATACCAAATACGTAACAACACAAAACATTAGGAAGACCTCTCCTACATCATTCATACACATATTATATCCATAATTACATCAATTCATATACCAAATGAGAGAGAAATTCATAATATTGTGAAATACAATCAAGGGGCAAGTGCAAGAACTAAATCATTTGGAAATTTCATCCGATTTTTGGGCAAAGAATCAAAGAAACAATTGAAAATTCATCAAGATTTCATTAAAAAAATTAAAGATTATCAAGATTATTCTTAGTTATTCGTCAAATTCATAATCCGGTTGATGTTCTATAGAATTAATATACTTTCTTGTACTTTCCATAAGCTAGCCTAAAATTATAATTGTTAGGATGTAGGTTCATTGTTATAAAGGCATAAATATAAAATAAGTATTTTGATATCCAATAGGTGTGAATTCATGGATAATTGTTATTGAATTTTAATACCATTTCAATTGCTTGATCATCAATTGTCTTTAATGTGAATTTTATTGATTTCGAGAGAAATAATAAAATTGATAACACTTATAACAATCATTGTAATGTCCGATAGGGAAAAAAGATATATCACTATGTTTTGTATGCTTTCTATAGATGTTCTAAAGTTTTTAATGCGTGTTTTCATGTTCGCATCTTTCATAAAGACAAAGGAAAGTTACATGAAGGGACATATTTAATTGACATTAAGAGATTTTTTAATTAACTTAGGAATGTTGATTAACATGAATAAGTACATATTGTCATTATATTTAATTGTATTAAAAATGAATTAACAAAGGGATTCGAAATCTTAGCAATAATCTCACATATTTGATAAAAACCTTCATAATTACTTTAGTTAATATAATTAGATCATTTAGTATAATACATACTCAAACCAATTTAGTTATTCAATTAAGGTTGATATTAATTGGCACTAAATTAAGCACATAATTCTCGTGGTTTCAACATTCAATTTACTATTTTATTACTTGTTCAGATTCCATTAACTTGCGAGAAATCAAACGATTAGAGATTCAAATGGAGGGTTCCCTCCCCAGTTTTTTCATGTACTCTTTTGAAGCTGAAAAAGCATTTTTTAGCACCATTATCTATATTTTGATTTTCCATTGAATTCTTTCACGTGTACAACGCATTAGACATTTCTAACATAAAAATAATATTTTGAAATCATACATCAAAACAATAAGGATATGTTTAATTGCAAGCATGAAATTTGTATGAAAAGAAAATAAATTTTAGGAAATTCAATTGTTTAGAATATATTTGCATGAAAATTGTCAATTATATGTATTTGATTGATTTAATTTTCAACACAGAAAATATTATACTTATTCCATTTTTATTGGTGAGTAGATAAGAGAGAGTGGATAGACGAGAAAGAGAAAGAGAGAGTGAATTCTTTGAAAAATAAAATCATACCTCCTAAAGAAAATATTTTCCGTGATTTTAAGAAAAATATGACCACGTAATCAAAAGAGAAAATATTTTCCATGGAAAAAATGTCAATCAAATAGCACAAAAGTAGAAATTTGGTTGGGGAAAACATACTTTTATGAAAAATATTGACAATCAAACGTACTTCAACATATGGTCTAAGTTAGTAATTTATTAGAATGATGAAACTTTAAAGTTTATACAGTTACTTTTTAGAAGGTGTTAAAGGAGCGAACTCATCGGATTGTTGAGTTGTTTTATGCCGTAAAGCTTCAAATCAAGAAACTTGAAGTGAATTTCTTGAAAGGAAAAATTGCAGCCAAGGTATCAAATCTTTCATTTATTAGCGGATTTTGTCCAAACTTTTAGTTTGTGCCATCCACAGTTCCAAACCTTTCAAAAATATGCACCAAGAGTTCAAATGGATGGAAACAGCCTGTTTAATCGTTAGTTGACCAATAAAATTAAATTTTGACCAATTTTTGACCAACTTAAAAGGGTAGAAAGGTAAATTTGCTATTTAATTCAATAATAAAACAAGTAAACTAATATACCAAATAAAAGAAACTACTATTCATCTTCTTCTTCCCCTGCCCCCCACCCCA